GTCTTATATAAACGAAACGCGCGTCTGGCGTACCAAATTATAAGCCTGGTATTTTTGTTGATTTTTAAAGCTTAAAAATTGGTTCATTGCTTCTTTGGAATCAAAATGAAAATAATGGGTAAAAATAAAGCAAGCAAATTGACAGTTTTGATCATGACTTATTTGTGTATCATGCTTGATAACTTTTGGTTTTACAGTTTCTGTCTACCTAAAGTAAATAAAAAATAACCTAACGCCAAAACAGATAGAAAAAGAAACAGTGCAATACATGTAACTTCTATCTGAGACTAATATATATTTGTACCAGTTTCTATAAGGAGTCATTTGATGGTTAAAGTGGTACTGATATTTTTGTAATCTTGAATTGCAGATGATTGCTGTAACGTTTGAATTTTCATCCATCTATAATTGTTTTCAAGAGAATTGACAAACAATCGGACTGATAATTTGGATAGAAATGCACAGCTGTAAGATCTTGACATCAGAGCATTTTCACTCCTTAGATATTTCATATATTATAGTTTTTTAAGACCTAAGACAATTAAGTTTACCATTATGTTCCCCTTTTAGCCATACTTGTCATTGGTTTGTTGGTGAATCTAGATTCAATATATTAACTAAATAAATACCTTAAGTATGTATGTTCTGTATCTTCCTCCTGTGTAGGAGCACCACCATGGGTTATGGTGTAAAGGAGGACATTTAACACACTGTATCGGTACAGATTTAATGTGATCATTTGCTTACCCAGTTTCCCAGCCTGGCCGTGACTGATCTTACTACCAGAAATTTAACCCTTCCCAAAAACAATAGGTACAATGCAATAAAACATACAACACACCAACTCACCTGATTCGCTCATCCTCAAAAATATAAAAAATGCAAAATATAAAAACAATTATATACAAAATAAAGGATAAGGTCACCCAGGATGCCGCACAAATGCCAAGGCAACAATCGGGAAACCGGTAAGGACATACTTGGATTCCAAAGACAAAGTGTACGTAATTGGACGATATTTTGTAGTTGGTGATCGCAATACTGGTATACCAGTATTGTCCACAATACTGGTATAAAAATTTTGTACCAGTATTGTGACTTTTTGTTTTAAAGAACAACAATACTGGTACATTATTGATATACCAGTATTGTAGTTGTATTGTTCACTATACTTTAAGGTGTAGAATGAAAAATGAAATTTAAGCAAAATTAGATATTAAAGATCAAAGGGAGATTAAATGAACTCAAAAAGATTATAGAGGATAATTGTGAAATCAATTAACAACCAGTTAAAAATAATTACTATACTTGTACAAATAAACAAAAATTATTGTAATTAGTTCATCTTATTCAAACAATTGATAATTATATAAATAATTGCTAATAATTTTATCATATTTCTATATTTTATTTAATTCAATTTAGATAAAAAAAATAAAGCTTTATTATCTGAGTTATTATTTAATAAATTCAAGCAAATTGTTACACTATAACACTGTAAATTCAGCATTTACATGTATGCGATCGTATATTTTTTACAGATATTTTAATACATGTATACTAAGATTCTAAGCATTTGTTTGTCTTTATTTTCTTATCAATCTTTCACAATAAACATGATAAAAGATATCAATATCCATTAAACATAAAAAGTTGCTTAATAGGGGAACCTGATTATAATCAAATTAACTTGTTTGTCTACATGATTGTTAAGGGTAGTTAAAGCAGTTGATTCAGAACCATGGGCAATACAATTTGTAGCAGATATATCTACTGGTACAAATACTCAAATACTAATACTAGACAAGCACTCCTACAGTAAGAGAGCCGTACAGGTGTTATCTAAACAAGCTTGTAATCTAGTAAGCGTAAGAGAAAGTCCACAGACTGAATGCATAAATATCAATATAGGAAGTGGGGGTTGCAGAAATGCCATCTGAAGAAGAAATAAACAATACCAATTAATGCTGATGATACAGTAGCTATAACAGCATTAATGTCAATATAAAATTCACTAAAATATACTATTGAAACTTGGAAATAGAGAGCTGGAAGAAAACATAGAAGAAAGTAAAGAGTTTGTTAAAATGCTGAGACAGTACGGTTCCCTTAAGAAAAAAAAACATCAGAAGATTTAACACTTTCTTTGATTACAATCACAGCTAGTGTACCATCAATGGCATCATCAGTTAAACATGCAATCCTTCCATATAAAATTGTCATGTCATATGATAATATCATTATGCATATACATGTATATGTGACACCTTTAATAAAAGATTAATTACCTATATATATGTATTGTTTATTTAAAAAAAAAACACAATACTGGTACAATACTGGAATACAATACTGGTACAAAATTTTTATACCAGTATTGTGCACAATACTAGTATACCAGTATTGCGATCACCAACTACAGGAGATCCGAGAATTTGTATGGATTTAGAAGTCTTCAACATGGAATATGGAAAAATGATATATGTAGCATTCAATATTTTGTGAAGAAGTCTATAAATGTATAGAATGTACACAAAAAAGCGACGAAATTGGCTTTTTTTTAATCCGAAATACTTCTACAGAAATTATGTTATTGCGGTTAGCATTTTCGTTTCACCATAGTTACTGCAAATCTTAGTTGAGAAGTCAGAAATCTGATAAAAATCATATATATCAGCTTTTAAAATATTAGTGGCTTAATATCAAATGATCTACTCATAAAACAATACCAGTACTGAAACACTTTTGTATGAATGCCAGGTGATTAATTGATTGTTTTTTACTTGATGTCCACATGGCAAATATAGCATGCATGTTCAGGAGGAGAAAAATCAATTTAATTTTTATACAATATGTAGGTCCTTTAATAGACGAAACTTGGATTGTCACTGGAAAATGAGGATATAATGGACAGGGGTAGAAGTATAACTTTATAAAAGACCATCTCCGGACCCTTTAAAGGGTTAATGCAAGGTTTCTTCAATGTGTGACACTCTTTCTGTACGAGGCATCAAATTTGACATCCCCATTGGCAGCAAATCTGTATATCCTGCACAACCTACCAGATGCACACTATGGCAAGGGTTTTACTGCCTGTCGAACGAAGACACAGGGTACGACCGGCAAAACTTCATAAAGATCCATCTTAATATCTCTTGATATTTGGCCCAACGTTTTGGAGTTTGAGGCCTTTTTAATGCTCTTCAACTTCATATTTGATTTGGACTGGGACGGTATTATACTAAGAATATATTATGTCGCAGATTTGGCCATCCAACTGCTTTGATTCAAGCGCCACTGACGAGTTTAATGTAGTAGAAACGCTCGTCTAACATACCAAATTGCGTTATATATTGAGGAATATATAGAAAAAAAATTCAGTGACAAATAAGTGCCTGTGGTGCGTAAATAGTTTGAAACCCGAATCAAACCAATCCAAACACAAGCTATAAAATTGGTGTGGTAGACTGTGTGTATCTGGAAGTTTTGGGGGAATATCAATGGAAAAATGGGGTGAAAATTGAGAAAACAGTGGGTTTTGTATTGAGAATAGGGTCGATATTTCACTGTAAATTATGGGTTACCAGTAGAAAAGAGACTGCATTAATACAACACAAACAATTAACTGTATCACTGCGCCCGTAAACGAAGTCTATGATATAACTGTTAGCGTATCATTTTCTCAGTGTAGTGTTTAAAAATTGCAATCAATTTAACTATTGTGTTTGAGGAACGTTCAATCGAATTAACTTATTTAATTTTCAATATGTAATCAAGCAAAAAGTACTTTTACTCGATCTAGAAACAACTAAAGAATGAAAAACTTGTGCACTCTATTGCAGGTCGGTAAACAAATGGGCATGCACATGATGCCAATAAAGACAATGTCTTAAAAACACCTTTAACAAGGATATAGACAAGGATTTGTATACAATACAAATCCTTGATATAGATCATACAATAAATTGGTCAAAACTTTTACTTAACTTTGTCCCTTAATACAGATATCTATTGTGGACCCAAATTTTATAAAGAGTAGTATTTAACAACCAGCTTTTTATGGTAATATTGTTCATAAAGTTGACAGAGTCTTTCAAATCTTTCTTTGTGGTTTAATAAATTTATTGATAAAGGTTAAAATTCTGCTGCGGTAGTTAAGTCATTGCTTCTGATACATTTTAGGATGCTTATCAATTCCCTAATTTACATCTTTAAGCAAGGCTAAAATGTTACTTTTGGTTTTTTTTACATTGAAATTCTGTAGTTTGTTTTGGGCATTGCACAAGATGATGTCCTTATGTATTTTTTAATGTTGCTGTATGAAATCTTTTATGAATTACAGCCACCAATAGTAAGAGAGTAGGACTTAATAGTTTCATAAATTACAATACTAAGTACGTTGCTATTGCTTTCAGGAACAGAGAGCATTATTTGATACAGTATTAAATTGTTTGTTATAGTTGTTTTGTTTATTATAAAGTTATTTTAGAGTCTAGTGATCTTCTGGTACTGGTGTTTACTGTTTGCTTTTTAGGTACATTTTGTAAAGTCCACTGATTGAGATTAAGAGGGGAGGGTTCAGATCTAACAAAAAAAAAGATTAACTCTTCCTGTCGAAGTCAGGAACCCTGGTTTTGTTTGTTTTTGACATTTTTTTTTTAAATTTTTTAGTCTTAAATACATGATTTGTTTTATTAGTTGTTATTGGCTTTGAAGAAGATTTCAGTCACTGCAAGTACTCTCAGATCTGTACTTTGTGTCTTTTGCATTTTTGTTAGTTTGTTTGTGCTTTGTATCGATCTAATGAGTTAAGCATTTTTAACTGAATTAATAGTTTGATCTTTAATTGTACTGTTACACTACTGTCCCAGCTTAGGGTGGAGGGTTTGGCACCAGGAAACACATTCTGTGTGTCCCTGTCATGAGTAATGAGCCTGTAATTTGGTGGTTGTCATTTGTTGCTGTATATCATATTTGAATGAAAAAGTAACAAACTAAAGTACATTTCACAAGGTCTTTATTAACAAGGCAAGTAAGTGTTACTGTTTTAACAATGACAAGATGGGTTAAATGTAATTTTATTAATGAACACTGAAATCTTGCTACATTTAAAGACAAAAATTGTAGGTATACACAATTGGTGAACATAGTCAAACATTAAGTTATGAAAAAAACCCAGAAAATTGCATCACCTTACAAATGATCTGAAAATGGAAATCAATTGTTATTCAATAACACTATTATCTATAATGAATCACCACATGATTTTGTACAAGAAACTTACATTGATGTAAATTTCATTTCTTAGCTTTTACTGAGAAGAAAATACCTCTGTTCCACCCTAATTTCTCAAAAATGATTAAGGTGGCCATTGAAGATTAAGATAAAGCCTCAGCCTGAATTAAATTAACCACATAAATTGAAGAAAGGCTTGAAGAAAAGTGCAGACCTCAGACTCGCATTAGTTTATCATTATGACTAAGGCTCACTAGGAAACAGGTCAGTTTTTATAAATAATTGATTTGGTTTGCCTTTTCAGAAAAATCAGGGCTGATGGCGATCTACAAAATTTGACCTCCACCTTTTTAAGGGCATGGTCCATTTTTATTAAAAGGACTTTTAAATCGTTGTGTACGATTTTATGATTTTAACATATCTTATAGTATAAAGATTAAATAGAAATGGAATTTGTTTTTGGAAATGAGAATGAATGAATTGATGAAAGAATATCCAAATATGGCAACATGATTGGTAGGGCCTTATCTGAAGAAATTTGATAATGAATAAATCATTTCATCTGTCATTCCTGGCAGTATGTACATTTAGGTATAAATGCTGAATCTATTTAAAATGTAAAATGCTTACAAACAAAACTAGTGATTTATTAAATCTTTCAACAAGTTATAAAATGTAGATTAAACTACTATAATTGTTTTGATTAAATTCCTTCTAAAAAAAAGTGAAAATTAAATGTAAAAGAGAAAATTTATATATGTATCTATGAAATAACTTATCAGTTATAAAATAAAAATTCACTATTGGTTTATATAAATTTCCATACCATTTTTTTCCCCCTTCAGACTAAAAACCACTATTATATTTAAAATAACAGAAGCATTTATAAAATGATCTGTATGAAAACCATCAACCTTTAACCATGATATGGCAGTTCAAAATAGTACCAGTGTGTATTAACACAATGACTACGACCAGCTGCGAGAGTGAGATCTTCTACGTCTTCTCGGGCTACGACTCCTACTACGACTGGAACTTCGTGAACTGCTACTACTGCGACGTCTGCTACGGGACCTGGTTTTCCTACGTGATCTGGATCTACTGCGTGAAAACCTAAAACAACAAATTCCAATGGAAATATACAATTGATTTAAGACTAGAAATAATTTCATTGTTTTTTATATATCGATTGAGTAGAAATGTTATTCAATGCTATATATTGCTGTTGAAGACAATATTCATAAAATATTTCAAATTTAACATAATGTCCATCCTTCACAAAAACATTTTTCATTAATTATCTTCAACATCTTTACTTTATAACAATATTCAAAATACTGTTATAGATTACAAAAGGTGAAAAAAAAAGAAAGACTAACTAAAGATAATCACCTTCTTCTACGGGGTGGTGGAGATCTTCTAGACCTGCTCCTAAAAAGAAAAAAAAACATGAAAAAAATAAGTTTATTACAGAGTTTTTATCTTTTTATAGCAGTTGAAAACATTACCAAGGTTCAATGAAATAATACTCTTTCAAGTGATTGCTGTGATTTGAACTCGTGTAAATCAAAATGAAATGTCACGTGTATTTCAATGAGACAAAAACAATAAAAAGAAGTCAATATACTGTCTCTAACAATACACAAGTAAGGTTGTGAATAACTAAACCTGATTGAACAAACGTATTTAATATCTACATTTGATAAAAATTTTCACGTCAAAGTATAAGAAACTATGAGAAGTCAAAAGGCTAGAAATTAGATAAGAAAAAAAACATGTAAAATTATAACAGTTCAGTGTTGTGTAATTCACAACCAAAATATTGTTTTACCTTGACCTTGACCTGCTACCATAGCGAAGGGGAGATTTTCTTCTTGGTGACTTGGATCTTCTTCGTGATGACAGTGACCTTCGCCTTGGAGATATACTACGTTTCCTTGGAGACTTGCTGCGCCTTCTTGGTGAAGGTGTTCTTCTTCTAGCTGGAGATTTGGTACGTTTTCTTGGTGATAGAGCTCTCCTTGGTGATTTTGAATGTCGTCTTGGGGAAACAGAACGTCTTCTGGATGAAGACGACCTCCTTCTTCTTACAGGAGATCTTCTTGGTGGAGGTCTTCTTCGGGGTGAAGATGATGACCTCCTCCTTCTTGGTGGTGATCTTCTGCGTGGGGAAGGAGATGATCTCCTCCTAGGCAGACTTTTTCTGGGAGATGGTGAGGATCGTCTTCTAGGTGACCTTTTTCTTGGTGAAAGAGATGATCTCCTTGGTGGTGACCTTCTAGGTGATGGAGATGACCTTTTCCTTTTTGGTGGGGATAATCTCCTAGGAATTGTCCTTGGTGATGGAGATCGTCTCCTTGGTGACCTTTTCCTTAGGGATGGAGAAAATCTCCTTGGAGGTGACCTCTTCCTTGGGGAAGGGGATGACTTTCTCCTAGGTGAAAGACGTCTTCTTGGAGGAGTTTCTGAACCTTTTCTAGATGATGACTTTCTTGAAGATCTTCTAGCTGACAATTTTGCAGGTGAAGGAGTCCTTGACCTCCTTATAACACGTCTAATGGTTGGTGATGTAGACCTTTTAGTAGGAGTCCTGCTTCGTGACCTGGATGAGCTATCTGATTTATGTCTTTTTGCTGGTGAGGCTGATTTTCTTACTACTTTCCTTTGATTTTCCTTTTTTAAAACTGGGGGTTCAGACAAATCTTGCAACCTATTATCTAATGTGCTCTTTCCTGTGTCTGCATTTACATTAGAGTTTTTAAGAATTGAATCACTTGATTTTACAGGTATAGGAATCTGTTCTGTCATAACATGGCTCAACACCTTTTCATAAATGGTCTCTTTCTTTACTCCAACCACTGGTATTGGCAGTACTGAAGACTTACTGTCTTTCATCGGAGGAGGTGGAGGTGGCACTCTTTTAGCTTCATTTTCCTTGCCATATAAAAACTGACTTGTTGGAGACGGTGACCTTGATTTGTCTGAGCTTGAACTGTCAGAATCTGATTCTGATGATGAACTGCCTTGATGTTGTTTCTTAGCTTTAGAGGACTCTCTGTCTGTTGGAGAAGGGGTTCTAGACCGTCTCTCTCTTTCAAATGCTGTTGCTGGAATTTTGACTGGTGAAGTTTGATGGGGATTATCTGCCTTTGATGGATTCTTTTTATCCCATCTACTATGATGTCTGAAAACAGATTGGAATTCTGAATGACATTGGATATTATAAAATATTGTCAAATCAGCCCTTATACTGTTAAAATCTAAATATGCAATACTGATGAATTTGCTCTGCTGATATAGATACAGCCTTTTTGGCTTACTTGCTAAATTTAGAAAAAATTGTATAGGGTTCCATGAAACCATGTGTGTCTTGCCTGCGATTGTAGATGATATTTCTTGATCATGAAGATTAGCTTCTGTCAAAGTTTCATAACAATCCATGAAAGTTTACAAATTCATCTGTTCAAAAAATTTAATCCCAGACTGTCTGTAAAAGATTACTGCAAAAAACTAAGTACATCTATCAGTAAAATACTGAACATGAAAAAAACGTATTTTAAAAATTTTGCTTTAGACATTATCTCCTTATCATAAAATAAAAAGCTTCTGACAAGCTTTATAAAATTCTATGAAGATTTGACAAAGTAACTAATGTGTATTAAACTTTAACTCCAGACTGTATCTACTTATTAACTGCAAAAAACTAAGTCCTTTTATGAGTAAATAACTGAACTAGAGGCTCTAAAGAGCCTGTGTCGCTCACCTTGGTCTATGTGAATATTAAACAAAGGACGCAGATGGATTCATGACAAAATTGTGTTTTGGTGATGGTGATGTGTTTGTACATCTTAATTTACTGAACATTTTTCCTGCTTACAATTATCTCTATCTATAATTAACTTGGCCCAGTAGTTTCAGAGGAGAAGATTTTTGTAAAAGATTACTAAGATTTACGAAAAAATGGTTAAAAATTGACTATAAAGGGCAATAACTCCTAAAGGGGTCAACTGACCATTTCGGTCATGTTGACTTATTTGTAGATCTTACTTTGCCGACATTTATTGTTTTTTACAGTTTATCTCTATCTATAATAATATTCAAGATAATAACCAAAAACAGCAAAATCACCTTAAAATTACCAATTCAGGGGCAGCAACCCAACAACGGGTTGTCCGATTCATCTGAAAATTTCAGGGCAGATAGATCTTGACCTGATAAACAATTTTACTTCATGTCAGATTTGCTTTAAATGCTTTGGTTTTTGAGTTAAAAGCCAAAAACTGAATTTTACCCCTATGTTCTATTTTTAGCCGTGGCGGCCATCTTGGTTGGTTGACCAGGTCACGCCACACATTTTCAAAACTAGATAACCAAATGATGATTGTGGCCAAGTTTGGTTTAATTTGGCCCAGTTGTTTCAGAGGAGAAGATTTTTGTAAAAGATTACTAAGATTTACGAAAAATGGTTAAAAATTGACTATAAAGGGCAATTACTCCTAAAGGGGTCAACTGACCATTTCGGTTATATTGACTTATTAGTAAATCTTACTTTGCTGAACATTATTGCTGTTTACAGTTTATCTCTATCTATAATAATATTCAAGATAATAACCAAAAACAGCAAAATTTCCTTAAAATTACCAATTCAGGGGCAGCAACCCAATAACGGGTTGTCCGATTCATCTGAAAATTTCAGGGCAGATAGATCTTGACCTGATAAACAATTTTACTTCATGTCAGATTTGCTTTAAATGCTTTGGTTTTTGAGTTAAAAGCCAAAAACTGAATTTTACCCCTATGTTCTATTTTTAGCCGTGGCGGCCATCTTGGTTGGTTGACCAGGTCACGCCACACATTTTTAAAACTAGATAACCAAATGATGATTGTGGCCAAGTTTGGCTTAATTTGGCCACAGAGTTTCAGAGGAGAAGATTTTTGTAAAAGATTACTAAGATTTACGAAAAATTGTTAAAAATTGACTATAAAGGGCAATTACTCCTTAAGGGGTCAACTGACCATTTCGGTTATATTGACTTATTTGTAAATCTTACTTTGCTGAACATTATTGCTGTTTACAGTTTATCTCTATCTATAATAATATTCAAGATAATAACCAAAAACAGCAAAATTTCCTTAAAATTACCAATTCAGGGGCAGCAACCCAATAACGGGTTGTCCGAATCATCTGAAAATTTCAGGGCAGATAGATCTTGACCTGATGAACAATTTTACCCCATGTCAGATTTGCTCTTAATGCTTTGGTTTTTGAGTTATAAGCTAAAAACTGCATTTTACCCCTATGTTCTATTTTTAGCCGTGGCGGCCATCTTGGTTGGTTGACCGGGTCACGCCACATATTTTTAAAACTAGATACCCCAATGATGATTGTGGGCAAGTTTGGTTAAATTTGGCCCAGTTGTTTCAGAGGAGAAGATTTTTGTAAAAGTTTACGGACGACGGACGACGGACGCAAAGTGATGAGAAAAGCTCACTTGACCTTTCAGGTCAGGTGAGCTAAAAATGGGAGAAAAACTTGTTCATTATTTTGCTCTGGATACTGTCTTTTGATAAAAAAAAATCTGTCCAACTTAAGTATCTTTCGATGAAGGTTTGACACAGTTATTAAAATGGAAAACTCTAAACTTAGACTGAATCTAAATGTTAAATTTAAATGAATCTGAATGTTAACTGTAATAAAATGCTGTGCCAAGCGCAGCCTGATACGACAGCAGAGGTCGAACCCTGAACAGTTGGGGCAAGTTTGGACACAATATTCAAGCTTGATACTGTCTGAATTTGGATTGTGATCAAATTTTTGACAATATATAGGTTTCTTACACAAAATAAATGTGGTCAAAGATCTTAAAAATTTGAAATGGGACATTTACTTTACCTAGTATGATCTGATATCCAAAATCTAACAACATGGTTAGATTCAGCATATAAGAAAACACCAAAAATTTAATTTTAGTTGAAATCAAAAAACGTTTCATTTTGGACCCTTCGAACCTTAATATGGACTAATTTAAATAAATTGCTTCACTGAGCGCAGCTAGATACGCCCGCAGAGGTCCAACCCTGAACAGTTGGGGCAAAAATGGACACAATATTCAAGCTTGATTCAGGTCTGACTTTGGATTGTAATTAAATATTTGACATATTATAGGTTTCTGAATAAATGTAGTCAAAGAACTTGAAATTGGTTATATGAATTGAATTTATATTCAATAAAAGATTCCTTGCTGTTGTACAATACTTAGTCAATCTGTTGTCAGACTATAAACAAATAAAGTTCAATTAATTCCCAATGTCATATTAAAAATTTATGAAAAAAAAAAGGGAGCTTACATCAATAGATATAAACAATTCACCAAAGTTTCATGAGAATTGGTGACAGCATTTTTGAGTTATTGTCCGAAAACTGGAAAATCACCCCTTTTTTTAATGAATAAAACCCCATAACTCAGAAATGTAAAATTGTAAAATTTATAAAATTCTAAAGGGAGCTTATATCAATACATACAAACAATTCACCAAAGTTTCATAAGAATTGCTGAAAGCATCTTTGAGTTTTTGTCCGAAACTTGGAAAATCCCCCCTTTTTTTATGAATAAAACCCTGTAACTCGGAAACGTAAAATCTAAAATTTATAAAAATCGAGAGGGAGCTCATGTCAATGATATAAACAATTCACCACAATTTCTTGCAAGTTGGTGAAAGCATTCTTGACTTTCATGTATTGTCTGAAAACTGGAAAATCCACCTTTTTTTAATAAATAAAACCCCATAACTCGGAAACGTAAAATCTAAATTTTATAAAAAACGAAAGGGAGCTCCCGTCAATAGATATAAACAATTCACCAAAGTTTTAAGCAAATTGGTTTAAGCATTTTTTAGTTAATGTCCGACATGTTGACGGCGGACAGAAGGAAGGAAGGACAGACGGACAATGGTATACCATAATACGTCCCGTAAACGGGCGTATAAAAACAGGGCCCAAAATAAACAAGCATTCTGAGAGTATTGCATGGCAATACATAGTCCCCTACCGGTTAAAAATTCATTGTATTGGAACAAAATGATAACTTGATCTATAACTTTTCATGGTGTAAACTATATAACAAATATCAAGTCAATATCTTCAAGCATGACGAAAAAATGTGTGGAAAACTGATTATTTGAGTGAATTTTATAAGTCCAAGAACCATTACTCTGCACAAAATCATCAGACCGGAACAAAATTCAAACTTAATCTGTAACATGTCATGATAAAATTATATACCAATTATCAAATCAATATCTTCAATATCTAAAGAGCCTGTGTCGCTCACCTTGGTCTATGTGCATATCAAACAAAGGACACTTTCCAACATCGTAGACGAGAATAGACTTTATGACAAAAATCTCTATTTTGTTGATCTTGTATTACTGATCTTTTAGTCTGTTTAGTTTCTCTCTATCTTCTTTAGTTTTTGCTCAAAACACAAAAGAGGGTAAAAAAAATCCTTTTAAGGGCAATCACTCCTATGAAGAGTGACAGTCTACTAACTATAACGGCAAAATTTGACTTTTTAATAGATCTTGCCTTGCTGATCATTTTTGTGATTTAAAGTGTTTATCTATCTATCATAATTTAAATCATATAAGGCATAAAGGAAAAAAAATGTTTCTCTATAAATATCATAGTTTTCATGATAATAGGCAAAAATGAAAACAAATGGTAAAATTTGTCATTTATGGGCAATAACTCCTTTAAGAATTTGTCTAACAGTTTTGACGTATATAAACAATTGGTAGAGCTCATTATTCTGAACATTTTTGCTCTTTTCAGATTGTCTCTATTTATAACAGTTCAAAAAATAATAAACAAAACTTGCATTTTACCCATTATGTTCTATTTTTAGCCATGTCAGCCATGTTGGTTGGTAGGCGGGGTCATCGGACACATTTTTTAAACTAGAGACCCTTATGATGACTGTGGCCAAGTTTGGTTAAATTTGTCTCAGTAGTTTCCTTCAGAGAAGATTTTTGTAAAAGATTACAAAAATTTACAAAAAATTGTTAAAAATTGACTATCAAGAGCAATAACTCCTTAAGAGGTCAATTGACCATTTTGGTCTTGTTGACTTATTTGTAGATCTTACTTTGCTGTACATTATTGCTGTTTACAGTTTATCTCTATCTATAATAATATTGAAGATAATAACCAATAAAATGCTTCGCTGGGGCGCAGCTTGATACGACCGCAGAGGTCGAACCCTGAACAGTTGGGGCAAGTATGGACACAACATTCAAGCTTGATACAGCTCTGAATTTGGATTGTGATTAAATATTTGACACAGCATAGGTTTCTGACACAGAAAGAATGTGGTCTAAAAACTTCAATTTTTTTAATTTACTTATTATGGTCCAATGTCCAAAATCAAAATACATGGTTAGATTCAGCATATCAAAGAACCCCATATATTCAATTTTTGTTGAAATCAAACAAAGTTTAATTTTGGACCCCAACTTGGACAAACTTGAAAACTGGTCCCATAATTAAAAATCTAAACACATGTTTAGATTCAGAATATCAAAGTACCCCAAGAATTCAATTTTTGTTAAAATCAAACTAAGTTTAATTTTGGACCCTTTGGACCTTAATGTAGACCAATTAAAAAAAAACGGGACCCAAAATTAAAAATCTAAAAACACGGTTAGATTTGGCATATCAAAGAACCCCAATAATTCAATTTTTGATGAAATCAAACAAATAAACAATAAAGTTTAATTTTGGACCCTTTTGACCTCAATATGAACCAATTTGATAGCGGGCCCACAAATAAAAAATTTAAATACATGGTAAGATTCAGCATATCAAAGAACCCCATATATTCAATTTTTGTTGAAATCAAACAAAGTTTAATTTTGGACCCCAATTTGGACCAACTTGAAAACTGAGCCAAAAATCTAAAATCTAAATACATGTTTAGATTCAGCATATCAAAGAACCCCATATATTCATTTTTTGTTAAAATCAAACAAAGTTTAATTTTGGACCCTTTGGACCTTAATGTAGACCAATTTGAAAACTGGACCCAAAATTAAAAATCTAAATACACGGTTAGATTCGGCATAACAAATAAATAAATGTGGTCAAAGATTTTACAAATCTAATGCGCCATACTGTGCAATTAAAGATTACTTCTTGAAATTTTTCAATATTTGAAATTTGAAAAAAAAATAATATTTGAAGAATAATTCTTTTTAATTTCTGAAATCTGAAATGAGAAAAAATTGACCCCCCACAATTTTTTTTTATCCCCCCCCCCCTTTTTTTCCCCAAAAAAATTCTTTCCCTCAAGATATGGTCATAATCTCAATTCAAATTTCCAATGGAGTTGGCAACCATAATTACCCATTTAAATTTACCATAGTGCTAACTTAATCTATTTTATAATAGAATTAAAAATATAGTGTCAAATCTTTCATATGGATTTTTTTGTAAAAAAAAAGATGCAACATTTGCAGATATTTTTACCGGTCTTCCTTTATAAATATGCATTTCTTTAAACATAATTTAAAAGCAGTGTAAGGGAAGTAACCAAACGTTGTATTTGGATTACCTCCCTTACACTGTTTTAAATTATCTTTATTGTTCATTAACCATTACTTTATACATAATTTAAAAGCAGTGTAAGGGAGATAATTTCAATGATGTATTTGATTTAGCTCCCTTACACTGCTTTAAATTATGTTTTGTACTAAAGTATTTGTCCATTAACCAGGACAACCTTGTTTTTCCCCCTTTTTTGCCCCTAATTCCTTAACGGTTTCAGCCATAACCCCCCAAAGCAAATCCTAACCATCCCTTTCTGGTATGAAAACTTGTAGTATAATTTCAGAGAGATCCATACACCGTTCCACAGTTATTGTCTGGAAACTAGAAAATGCTTATTTTTAGCCCCTTTTTGGCCCCTAATTCCTTAACTGTTGGTACAATAACCCCCAAAATCAATCCCAACCTTCCTTTTGTGGTATTTAACCTTATGGTCAAATTTCAAAAAGATCCATTCACTTAAACTAAAGTTAGAGTGCGAAAACCAATGTGTCTTCGGACGACGACGCCGGACGACGACGACGACAACGTCAACGTCATACCAATATATGACCACAAAATTTTTTTGCGGTCGTATAATAAATTGCTCGCCGAGCGCAGCTGGATACAACCACAGAGGTCCAACCCTGAACAGTTGGGGCAAAAATGGACACAATATTTGCGCTTGATACAGGTCTGAATTTGGATTGTAATTAAATACTTGACACATAATATATTTCTGACACAGAATAACTGTAGTCAAAGAACTTAGAATTGGTTATATGATTCGAATTTATATTCAAGTTTTTGCTTTTGTGCAATACACTATGCTGTTGCGAATTGACCAACCCCCAAAAAGTTTTTTTTACCTCCCCCCCCCCCCCCCCCCCCCCCCTTATTTTGCAAAAAAAAAAAAAAATATTTGAAGAAATTTTTTTTTTTAATTTCTGAAATCCTCCCCATTTCACCTCCAACCCCCCCCCCCCTTCCCCCTCCATTTTTCAAAAAAAAAAATCTTTCGTTCAAGATATGGTCATAATCTCAATTCAAATTTCCAATGGAGTTTGCAACCATAATTACCCATTTAAATACATCATAAAAGTCTTAAAATAGAAAATGACATACATAATCATGGCTAAAATTAATATTCATTAATCAGCAATTTTAATAGTAACTTCTAAAAATAAATTGACAGCTAATCACCTCAACACAATACAACATTTCTTTATACATAATTTAAAAGCAGTGTAAGGGAGGTAATCCAAACATAACATTGTATTTTTAAGTAATTATCCATTAACCAGGAAACCCTTGTTTTTCCCCCTTTTTTGCCCCTTATTCCTAAACGGTTTGAGCCATAACCCCTCAAAGCCAATCTTAACCATCCCTTTGTGGTATGGAAACTTGTGGTCTAATTTCAGAGAGATCCATACACCTTTCCACAAGTTATTGTCTGGAAACTAGAAAAATGTTTATTTGGGCCCCTTTTTGGCCCTAATTCCTAAACTGTTAGGACCATAACCCCCAAAATCAATCCAAATGGAAACCAAATGTCTTTTCAAGAAAAATGTACAATTTCAGAGAGTTCCATAAACTTTAACACAAGTTATTGTCTGGAAACTAGAAACTGGAAACTAGAAAAAATGCTTGTTTTTGGCCCTTTTTTTGGCCCTAATTTCTAAAAGTTTGGGGCCATTACCAGCCTTCCCTTTGTGGTACGGAACCTTGTAGTACAATTTCAGAGAGATCCAAACACTCAAACACAAGTTATTGTCTGGAAACTAGAAAAATGCTTGTTTTTAACACCTAATTCCTAAACCGTTGGTACCATAACCCCCAAAATCAATCCAAACCTTCCTTTTGTGGTATTGAACCTTCTGGTTAAATTTCATAGAGATCCATTCACTTAAACTAAAGTTATTGTCCGGAAACAAAATGTGTCTTCGGACGACGACAACGACATCATAGCATTATACAAACGCAATTTTTTTGCAGTCGTATAAAAACATGTTCCACTTGTAAAAAATTTTTGTCTACGAAATTGAATAAATAGTTTTAATTTTTAAATCAAATAAATTTTAATAAATATACTACAACAATGAACAAAGAAAGACAAACTTCTGGAAATTAATAGTGATTTTACAGTGTTTTCAAAATAAACCTACTTAGCCATTTCTGAAGCTGCCTCAGCCACCTGTGACAAGTTAGGTATTGGTGGAGTCCTTAATCGGTTTTCCTGTGTGCTATCAACTGGCTGCAACAACACAATAGAACAATGATAAATCACCAAGACAGAAAAAGGTCTTTTAAATATGATACTCATATACACTCTAAATCGGGTGTATTGTTTAGGTACTATATTTTTTCATCTTTTTAATAGAACAAGTCCACGGTGTATACTAGAATATTCAATAGGGCTGTTCGATGTGAATGCTTGATATGCTAAATGCTAACATCAAAATAATAGTCTTAAGTCATTTAAAATATATTTTTCTATCATAAAAATGTTGATCTTTTGGTTTTCTTCTACATTTAATTTCAAAAGTTGTAGCTAGCTTTTAATATCTCAAAAATGATTATACAACTTGTTACTCACAATACACCTTCATCAACTATATTTTTTTTATCTGCATTCTATTAAGGTGGTACCCAACACCTTGACTAATATTAATTTGGCTCGTTTAATTTTCATAAAATTTTGACAAAATGTTTACTTTGACCCTTTGACAAAAATATAAAAATTTCAAAAAATTTGAACCAACCACTTTATCAGAAAAGTTTCATTGGTTATATAGCAGTTTGACAAACACTAATTTTGATCATTGAGAAGCTTAATATTTCCTTAACAATACAACGTAATTAAAACGTTTAGCTGATTTTTACAGAGTTATCTCCCTGTAGTGTTAGGTACCACCTCAATATAATGAAATTAAAGAGGAAAAAAACTGTCAACAGTATTCTAGTTCAAAATAAATAATTCAATGAAGTACAAATCAGACCTTTCCCTTAAAATTTTAACCTACTGATAGGTTCCAGAAAAAGCTGCAATCAGTCAGAAAGAAAGTGCTGTTCCAGATTTAAACCCATTGGGGGATGGAAGGCACTTATTTAGACCCCAACTACCAATTATATTTAATTTTACCTATAATTCTTACAAAATTTTAAGAAAATACAACCATCCACAATTTATCAAAATTAGTACCTCCCATCCCCTATGTGATTAATCTGGAACAGCCCTAACATTATAGATACAATTATGATAGTTATTGATCTAACAAACTAATTTCTCTGGTAACTACCTGAATATGTACAGATCTATGATAGTCTTCTTCCTTGAAATGGTCCTCAGGATCTGGAGGTGGCTGCCATTTTATTTTCTCCTACAATTAAGTCATACCCTTTATTATATGCACATAAATAACCATGTTTAAAATCAAACTGAAATATGGTCTCTATGGTATGAAGCATGTACATGGGTGATCTCTCTGATTTTCATGAAATTGAGCATGCAATAAGAAAAGGTAGAACTGCATCTTCATAATGGAACGTTCAAACATAACAAGAATATGTGTCCATAGGTTACTATGCCCTGCTTACACCATCTTATTTCCATGTTTGGTGAATTGTGAAATCTTGGTCAAAACCCTATCATAATTTTAACCTGATTTGAGACGGAAAGACAAACTACCGGACCATAAAACATAATGCCCCTCTACTATTGAAGGCAGGGCATAGTCAAATACAGGTATAAATGTATTCACTAAATATAAATCATGTATGAAAAGTTAAAGCTACGACATTTTGACACAAAAACATAAGTCTTTCTCATTTCATCCTTCCCATAAATCCATAAAACGACAGTAACTATTAATAATTATCTGATGTGCACTAAATTTCACATGTGACAAGGCAAATCTATCATTTTGTGACATGCTAATCAACTTCACATCGTTTGAGGTAATTCTCTCCAAGTTTCTATCATTCCTTAGTTGACTGTAAGACATTATTTTGCATTCCCTCAGGCCTGTATATAGAAATGTTAATGTCCATGTTTCTCAATGATAAACCCTACATATCAATCTTATCCCAAAATAAATATGACTCAACATGATAAGTAGAAATGGTTAAGTTCATGTCTTGCTATTGAAAAGCATAAAATCAATCTTAACAATAAATATTGAAGTGCACTAATAAACCTGGGGTGAAGTAATTCTGTCAAAGAATCATTCCATTCCTATGTAAACTATAAAGGAGATTTTGTTTTTTAATAATTTTTCGATGAACAGGACAAAAAAGTAAACCTATAGATGTAAAGGCACAATTTTGCTGAATCTAGAATCATCAAAAACTGCATTTCAAATACTCTGTAACAATGATATTTGTCATATTAATAATTTACTATATCTTTGGAATATAAAATTTACTTACACAATTTTTGTTTACCTTCAGATGCAATTGCCATGCTTAACTTGCATCAGAATCTCATAAAAATTTGTAAGGGTTCCGCGGAACCCAGTGTCTCGCCTACTTTTTCTGTTAATCGCAGGCTCAACAAAAATGAGGAAGTAAATCAATAAAAATATTCCTCTTGATACTATCTTTTGATTGTAAGAAGCTTCTGTCCAAGTTTGGTAAAATTCCAGGATAGTTTATGAATCTAATAAATGTTTAAAAACTTTAACTGCAGACTGAATGTAATGTTAACTGGAAGAAAACAAAATTTCCTTCTAGATACTAGCATTTGATCATAAACAAGCTTCTGTCCAAGTTTGGTACAAATCCAAAATAGTAAAAGAAAGTTATTAAAATTTTAAAAACTTTAACCACAGAGTGAATATGTTGTTTCCTGGCAGAAAATCTAAGTCCATTTAAAAGTAAAATACGGAAAAAATGGATTTATTTTTTTACAAAATTTCCTTCTAGATACTAGCTTTTGATCATAAACAAGCTTCTGTCCAAGTTTGGTACAAATCCAAAATAGTATAAGAAAGTTATTAAAATTTTAAAAACTTTAACCACAGAGTGAATGTGTTGTTTCCTGGCAGAAAATCTAATTCTAAGTCCATTTAAAAGTAAAATAAGGAAAAAATGGATTTATTTTTTTATAAAATTTACTTCTAGATACTATCTTATGATCATAAACAAGCTTCTGTCCAAGTTTGGTACAAACCCAGGATAGTTTAAGAAAGTTATTAAAATTTTAAAAACTTTAACCACAGAGTGAATGTAATATTTACCGGCAGAAAAACTAAGTCCATTTATAAGTAAAATACGGAAAAAATGGAATTTTATTTTTACAAAATTTACTTCTGGATACTATCTTATGATCATAAACAAGCTTATGTCCAAGTTTGGTAGAAATCCAGGATAGTTTAAGAAAGTTATTAAAATTTCAAAAACTTTAACCACAGAGTGAATATTTGTGGACGCCGCCGACGGAATGTAGGATCGCTATGTCTCGCTTTTTCGACTTAAGTCGAAGGCTCGACAAAAATAGATTCACAATTTGCACACCTTTGACCTTACAGCTCTTGTGAAGATATAACAGATATCTGTACTGAGTAATGGGACGCAGGTAGAATAAGCATACTTTGTTTTGGAACATTAAATTGATGTGTACAAGGCTTAAAGGCAGTTAGAAATGTTTCATGTCAAGCAAAAATCAAAAATTTCTATTTTGAGATGTACATGATGTATGGTTATTCCTATCTATTTTAATGCTTAAAACTATTAAGACAATGTTTATAAATAAAATACTACAGGTTATTTTTTACATCATAGAACAGGCTTCATGGGTCCCTGATTGAATATCACAAATGTTAATACAGTCAACACAATGTGACAGCGCTAAAAGCATAGGCCTGCTTTAAAAAGGATTGTTTACATACCTCAACTTTCCTTGTTGGTTTCTTCTCATTATTTTTTGAACTGGCAGAGCTAGAATCACTTGAATATGACTTTGATCTTGACCTTGATCTTCCAGAGCCTGACTTTGAACTTGAGCTGCTGGATGATCTTGATCTTGACACCTTTTTCTTTTCTGGCGGTATATTTTTTTCTGGTACCCTAAGAGGACTAGCTTTTATTGGAGCTTCAGTTTCTGCCAAATCATACTGAATTTTACTTTCTTTTTGGCCTGGGGATTTTCCTTCAACATGACCACTTCTTTTAACATCTCTTTTGACTGTTTCTTCTCTTTGAGGACTAACTGACCTTGACCTAGAGGGTCTCTCTGTGGATGACTTTCTGAATCCATTGACTTCTGACTTTTGATCCCTTGTAACATCAGAGTGAGATTTGTGGCCTTGATTTAATATTTGTCTTAAAAAAATTATGGTAGGTATATAATAAAAGGCAATGCTGAGAGATATGCGATACTTATTTTCAACAAGGAATTCTTTGCTACACAAAATCTATAATTCTGTTCCTGCAGACAAGAACCAAATCCGATAATAACAGCCTGATATAGTGCATTAAAAGATTTTAAGAGGGAATTTAATGTTTGCTATACTACAAGCTTCTGGGTGTTTAGGGTGAAGGAGATGCTGTCATGTCTCTTTTCCTGTATGCCAAAATCGATATCTAGTTGCCCAGGTGTTCACAACAGTCATTTTCATCATCAGTAATTTACCATTTTTATCAAGTCAGTATAACAGCAATTTTTCATTGATAAGTAAAGAAATTCAAAGACATAAGAAATGTCAAGAAAGAATTGACCTTGTAGACTGGCCATATATTATTTCAAAGTCAAAGTAACAAATCAAACTTTCACTTCTGCCACTTCTTCTTGTTAAACAATCGTACATCAAAAGATTATGATTTTCGGCAAAATAAATTTGTTTCATTATTTAAACATGATTAAAATTGCCTCAAGTTAATGTTTGATCTATCAATTGCATTAAAAACAACATATTCCTTTCCAAATTGCTTGTCAAAGATTGTTTATTTTTGTAAATATAATTTGTATGCATGAAATAAGATTCGATATGTCCAATGCAAAAAGTATTAAATCAATAGGATAAAAATGGCAAGACATATCATTGTTAAAACCAAACATTATGATGTAGTGACTGAACTTCTCTTTTAAGTCTCTTCACAATTTAGACTAATAAAATTCTTATTCTTATTCTTCACTTCTCACTATGATTTTGAAGTAAAGTAAGGCCTGATGACAATACTAATCAATCAGAATGAGAATTTTTTGCAGTATTTTAAGAAATTATTTTGTTATTTATCTATGTGTTATTTTATGTATTCAATTATTTAAATAATTAATAACATTAAATGCAATACATACTGTGTGAAGACTGGTCTTTCAGGCTCCTTAGATTTCCATGGTTTTTGTCCTGGTTTCCAGTGTGTAGGAGGAGGACTATCAGATTTCAGTTTCACTGGTCTGCAGATGATATAATAATTCTTTCAATAATTTACTGCCTAACCATATTGTAGAATTAGACATAACACAAACTATTCAGTGCTTGAGGGGGTTACCCAACACTTTAACTAAAATAGATTTGGCTTGTTTAATTTTCATAAATTTTTGACAAAATATTTACTTTGACCTGTTGACAAAATATTTTAAAATTTCAAGAAATTTTAACCACACAATTTATAAGAATAATTTCATTGGATATATAGCAGTTTGACAAACACTAATTTTGATCATTGAGAAGTTCCATTTTTTTTTTTAATAATAGTACGTGATTAAAACGTTCATCTGATTTTTAAAAAGTTAATTCCCTCAGGTGTCCTGTAACCCCTTAAACCACCTTAACTAAAATGTTATACACAATATGTACAGCCATTTAATTTGTATTTTTGAAATTCAAGCACTCAAAGAAAACTTAAATCTCATTTGATAATTGCAACAGGTTGACATTAAGTAAAGGCAATTATCAAATTATTATTTGTCTGTTTATCTTGCAAATGAAAAATTTTGTTATGTGTCTGTATATACTTGATTTATGACTATGTGGACCAAGTTGATGGTTGCACAATGTCCTGAATAGGTTTAAAACACAGTTATAGAGCAAATTCTCATGTTTACCTTCACTATGTCTCTGGTATTATGATTACCTTGATGTTAAACAATAAACAATCTACAGGTAGAGATCACCTGTATAGTATGACTAAAAAGTCTTGAGCAAAACTTTTAACAAACCACTGTTATGTACATGGTGTGTAAGTTACCTATTAAGGTATTCGATCCTATTCAGTATTATCTCAAAAATCTATTTAAAGGGGGATAGCTGTCAAATTCATGTTCACTGAGTTGGCTCAAATTCTCATATTTGATATATAACATACTAAAACATATATCCAAATTACAATAAGTCTGAAATAAACAATTAACAATGCATGGACTCGATAATATATATGAGCATTTCGTGTGTTTTTTTTAATCTTAAGATGCCATCTAATTAACCATCAAGATGACCTCCAAAGACTGCCGACAGTCATATAACCCAATATAAACATAAACATAAACATAAATATAAATAGATAGCGAACTCGTGCAATTGGACTTTTCTAGGTCTGTTTGATTTCATGTTATAGGTAATAAAAAAAATAAGTTAATTATCATTTTTACCTGTATAAAAATGATTTTTGTGGATCGAATCAGTCAACGAAATGATTCAACTTTGTTTCACTTTCAATGTTGACATTCTTTTCTTTTTAATGGCTGAACATGACTAATACATGCACAACCAATCTCAAGCTAATGGGTTAAATTGAAGGTCATATGAATCTGGATTCAATGAGGTCCAATTATTCACTTGCAAGTGAATAATTCATCAGCGATGTTGGTTGACAAAATTGAACTTAACTGGCTGCTAAAAGCGAATTATTATTTCACTTTCATTAATGATTGAACAAAAAAAAATCATATTTTAATTCTTTTTATATCTCGTAGCGAATGTCCCTTTAATATTTACAAACACTTATTGTGATAGAAACCTAAATTTTTTTTAAGTTAATTCAAATTAAACTAGAATATGCTCTGTTATACCTTTGAGCTGGCTGTACTTTTGGTCGATCTCTTCTACCTCTTGATCTTGATCTGCTAGATCTGTCTCTAGATCTTGACCTGGATGATGATGATGATCTAGACCTTCTTCTATCATCATCTCTCTTTGTCCTAGATTTGGAACCTGAGTCCGAATCAGATTCTGAATGTTGTCGCCTTGACCTTGATGGTGGTTCATATCTTTCTGGTGATCTGGATTCATCTGAACTTCGACCTTTCTTCTCATTCCTAAACTTTCTTTTTTCATTTCTTCTGTTTTCTTCAAAGGGAGACCTATAAAGATTTGTAAAATAATCATACTTACTACAGATAAGATTGATCAAATATATTTATGTTTAAAATAAGATTTCATGCAAACATATCTACAAAAAGATTTACCAATATAAAAATATAAATCCTTCTTGTTATCTGAATCTTCAAATTGTTTTATAATTTAATATCAAGCAAATGATTGATTGCTGTTTGCTCCGTATCAAGTATTTCATGTATACATGTATCCAGGACAATCAGGCATAGCAATTGAACTTCAACAATATATTATCAGAAATCATTTAAAATAAAAACCAATTGCGATAGATGTTAACCTATAATGATAGAATTGTACTTATTTTACAGCCAAATATTAATATTAGTTTATTGAATGCATGTCAAACACAAAATAAAGTACCTTCTTTGTCTTGATCTATTAATCTGACGATTTCTGTCAGGACTGGGACTATATCTTTCTTTTCTATCAGAATATTTTGACTTCCTTTCTCTTTCTGGTGAGGATATTATTTCTCCTTCTGATGGAGAACTGTCATGGTGCCGTCTAATTGGTTTTCTAGATGTCTCTTCCTGATCACTTTCTGACATTTTTCGCTCTTGTTTTTTTGGTTTCTTATCTTTCTTTTCTTTTTTTCTACCAAAAGGAATGATGTTAAAATAAAATATATAAGTTTTTCTTCTGATATTGTATTCATAATTCTTTGATAATAGTAATAAGTATGCTTCAACAAAATAAATTTTATGATCAAAATATGCATAAAACTAAGAGTTACTGCAAGCAAAGCTCCCAAAATATCCCTACCACCCAAACATAAAGCAATATGCAGAGTGATAAATAAATAGCAAGATTAAGGATTTGCTGAGGGAAATCCTAAAAATAGTAAGGATGAAACAAAATTGAAGGTACACAATGGCATTATATGGTTAAGATTTTGGGAATGTTATAATAAATTATAATAAGGAGTTTTGAAGAAGTTGCAGATACAAAATGGATACCTCAAATAAAGCAATAGCAAAGTAAATAGTTTGCAAAGGGAAATCCCAAAAATAAAAAACAAACTTAGTGCATAATGGCATTATATGGTTAATATTTTGAGAAAGTTTCAATAAATTATAATGAAGGGATTAGGAGTGGCAAATACAAACAGAGTACCTTCTTTAAGTGATGTTAGGATTGACAGATAAAGCACGGCAAAGTCCATAATTTCATGATTTGCTTTGGGAATCCCACCCTTCAAAAAAAATCAGATAAAACTAGACAAAGTGATGCCCCACACTCCACTCTGAAGTAACTGTATTATAACAAAGTCAATGTAGGAATTCTTTGAGATATTATTGTGCCTGGGAGACACAAATGATACCCCCGCAGATGCAAAGTTTTATTTTAAAATACACAAAGTTGAACATGGGAGCACATAGATCTATGGTTCACTGTAGGAGGAGTTATCTGGAAACGCTATGCACCTCTTATGCAAGTATATACTCCAAAAAAGTTAAACTATCTCCCAAAAGAGCAAATATTAATAAAAATCAAAACCTGTGACACCATGTGCACCTTTAATATATGTACAAACAGCCAGCAAAGTGAAAACTTCCTAGCATTCTAACTGTTGGAGGAGTTATACGGAAACCCTATGCACCTCTTATGCAAGTTAATTACACCTTATATAAGAAAGCCAGATTTTGATTGGTTGATAGCCAGTGTATTTTTCGCATATTCTAATATTTTTTCTTCATTTCAAACGAATTTGCCTGTTTTTCACCACTGCCGGTGAATTTGCCTCAAATACCATGGTATTTGCCATTTTGGATATTCCTTTTTTACCCTCTCGAGCATTTTCCCGCCAAAATATTTCGGATATGACGTTACATAAAAAAGCGAGCTAACGCGTATAAGTACATGTATAATTCCCGCAGTTCTATGATAATATCCTCTTATCCTCAAAATTATGCATAAACATGTTAATGAATTAGTTTCAATCCAAATCTATTCGGTGTAATTAAACAGATATATCATGTTATGGAGGGGTATTTGCGAAAAAATACCAGTCTTGGGACCGAATTTCCCTTGACTGGTATTTTTCGCAAATACCCCTCCATAACATGATACATCTGTTCATAATTACACCTTATATAAGAATGCCGGATTTTGATTGGTTGTTAGCCAGTGTATCTTTCGCATATTCTAACATTTTGTCCTCATTTCAAACGAATTTGTCTGTTTTTCACCACTGCCAGTGAATTTGCCTCAAATTCCCCTCTCTGCCGTGGTATTTGCCATTTTGGATATTCCTTTTTTACCCTCACGAGCCTCTTCCTGCCAAAATAATTCGGAACCTTTCTCACTTTATCCCGATTATTAAGACAACATGGTTAAGCACTACTGATTGAGTTAAACCGAAAACTGTAAACTGAAATGTCAGAGATATACATGAAATAAAGTAGAAAAAAGACGTCGATACAAATGAACGATTTAATGACGGAATAACAATGACGTTTACACATAGATACCATGACGTTACAAAAAGACAGCAATAACGTGTATAAGTACATGTATAATTCCCGGGGTACTACGATTTCCCTTCACCTGTACAAACAGTTTTAATCAAAATCACTATTCAATGTAATTAAACAGATATATCATGTTATGGAGGGGTATTTGCGAAAAATACCAGTCTTGGGACTGAATTTCCCTCGCCTAGCGGCTTGGGAAATTTTACAGTCCCATGACTGGTATTTTTTGTAAAAACCCCTCCATAACATGATATATCTGTTCAATATACTCCAAAAATGACAAAGTTCAACTATCTCCCAAAAGAGCAAATACAATGTATGAATAAAAAATCAAAACCCTAACCACATGCACACCTTCAATATATGTACAAACAGCTAGCAAAGTGAAAACTTCCTAGCATTCAAACTGTAGGAGGAGTTATCTGGAATAGCTATATACCCATAATGAGACAGACGGAATGACGGATGGACATGGGTAAAACAATATGCCCTACCAACTTTCAGTTGAGGGGGCATAAAAATCAAAATAAGTGCACAATGGCATTATCTGAAGATTCTGAGAAGGTCTTAATAAATCAAATATTATCTAAAGGAGTTTATGAGGAGTTGTCTATACGAAATGGATACCCTCCAGAACTAAGCAATGGCAAAGTCAATGGTTTGCTATGGGAATCCCCAAAAGTACATCATATGAGAAAATTTTTTGTCAAGTTTAGGAGCAGTGGCAGATACAAATATGGAATGAATGAACAAATGAATGGAACAACAAAGAACGGACACACTTTTATCACTATATACTGGTTACCTCAAAAAGCAGGTTTTTATAATCAAAATAAAAGGGAGCATAATGTTAAAACTTATTACTGTCACAGAATGGTAAAAACTGTAATCTAAACTGTATGTTTGGTTTAACATAGCAATTGTAGGCATAAAATATCAGTCAGTTTATATACCTTTTTTCCCTTTTCTTTTTTCTGCCTCCATCTTCATCTTCTCTGTAAATAAAAAAAACCACAATATATTTATAAGCTAATTGTTATTTCATCTTAATGTTTCTGAGCAGGTTATCAATAGTTGTAATTTTGAGACCCTCAGGAATAGAAAATTGTTCATTTGATAAACAATATAAATACTCCATATATAAAATTAAAAAATATAAAACCTTTAATATATACTTCTTACTTGAAATGAATGAACTAACTTGAATGTTACACTTTTTTTTTTTTTTTTATCAAATCAAGGTATCTATAGTTCATGTTTGTCTTGCTCTCCCTATTGTCCCCTTCTCATTAAGATGCTATATACTAGAAAAACTGCAGTTCATGAAAAACTTGAACTGTATTGTGAGCCTCAATTTATAATTTTTTTTGCCTTGAATAAGATATCAACATGATCAATGCAAAACAATGTCATGTGTCTTTTACTTTGACCTAAATGATTTGATAACATTGAATTCTTTGCAATGGCATTATATCCTACTTTTTTAGTTTTAAACAATCATGCATTACCCTATATGTAAATCTTGAACAAAAAATACGTCTCTGTATATCATTGTTAAACTTAATAAATTTATTCATCTATATGGTATTTTTTAAAGCCTTCAATAAAGAATTCTGCACCATCTTAAAATCGGGAGCAATGACATAGACCCTGCTTAGCTAGGTAAAACAAGCGTTCTTAAACTGCTCTTCAACTACATACTTAATTTGGACTTTTAACTTTTTTGAATTTAAGCATCACTGATGACTTTCTAGTTGGCATAACATGCATCTGATGTAGTAAATTCAAAATCTGGTATCTTTAATGAGTTTTTTTATGTGGTGCTAAAATATGTCCTTGAATTGGACAACTGGTAATAAAAGGTAAGACATTTATACATACACATCAGATGATGGTTTTATAGCTTCATAACCAGCATGTTGCTGAAGTCTGGCTGCTATGGACAAACGCCTATCTGAAGGCTCTAAACTTTTGGATCTTGTTCTTCTGTTATGAACACGTTCAACACGACCTGCCAGCCTCTCTGGACGTCTTTCTTCCCTAAAAACAATTTCTATATTAATCATCTTTTTCAATAGCAGCTGTATCATCATTGAAAGGAATCCTTAAAGCAACTTGAGATCAATTATCATTTTTTATCCATCTTTTAAAAGTACTGAATGAAGGACTTTATTCTAAGAAATAAGATTTCTGTGATGGTTAACTCTACTAAAGGTCAAACATGTATGTGTGAGTGGATATCCTATCATGTAATTCAAAATCCAGGAATTTTTTTTAATATTTCTGAAGCACAAAATGCATCCAAATTTTATTTATCTAGGTCCTGCCATGCCTTTAAACATTTCCAAGTTAACAGGTTTGACTGTAATTTTTGTGGGGTAAACACAGCTATATTTGTCAATTCCTTCTGATGAATGTTAAGCAGTTCTAAAGAAGCTAAATGACAAATTTATAAAAGTCAACCCATCAATTTGGCAACATAGAATTGCGTTTTGAGTGAAATTCTTTCTACAATTGATCATAACTTATCTGAAGGTCCATATATTTTATCTGAAGACACCTTTACTCTTCTTTTAAAGGGTTTCTTTCAACTAGTTCTCACCAAGTTAAGAAACTATTGAAGAAAAGAAACAGAGGAGCAAAATAATTGTTTACAAATCACTGAAGAAAAAAAATCTTCCCTGAACTTTAATGGTTAAAAATGCAAAGAAAGTATCCTTCCAGATAGATACAAAAGTTCAAACTTACAGAATCAGTATTGTCTCTGATAGGAAACACTAGAAAAACTCAGACAACTCTCATATAGGTCAAAACAATTTTTTTTATTCCTCCCAAATATACTTATTAGAAATAAACAATATCTTTCATGACATGTTTGATCTCAATGGGCAATGTACTATCAAATTATAAAATGGTAATACCTATCCTCTCGGACAAACCCTTGTCTTCTGCCTCCCTGCCTTTCCGGTGGAGGTTGTCTTTGCTGTAATCGATCTCCCCTAACCCATCTATCTTGATCAGCATCCTCAGCATCACCCATGGTACTGACAGGAGCACTACGTTCCATGGCCTGTTTCCAGTGAGGTGGAGTTTCACTTCTACTCCTATCTCCTCTGTATCTCTGAAAGAAAGAAATATATACTGTAAAGTGGGATATTTTCATAAGGGTTTATTAAGCATTAATATTGCAATTAAGATAAAACCACAAATATATTCCCAATTTTGTCTTTAAAGAAGATAAGAGTAAAAAAACAAGAAAGACAGAATAATAAAACCTTGTGAACAGGTTTAGATTTTGAATTCACAATGTTTTATCTCAGAAGAACTATTTTACAGGAAATTTTCTAGTACTAGCAAATTTGTGGCCTTTTTCTGAACTGAATTTGATTTTACTGTTTCTATTTATAAGTACTTTAAGCTTAGTTTCAGTAACTGCTGGCATTCTTCAATACAGAGTTGAAGTGCTTTTCCTGTACTGATTTTTTATATTATTTTATTTTTGTGTACCCAAGATAGTAATCTTGTCTGTGGTTGTTTCTACTTTTTCTCTAAAATGTTTTTGTACTATTGGAAACTTGATATTGACAGATAATCTCTGATAAATCTATTGACAACTTTTCTAGACTCGATGTGATATAAAGCTTGACATATATTGTATAGACATTTGTGTATTATTGAAGACCATTTGTTGACCTCTGGATTGTCTTTCTGTTCATTATTGTGGTTGTGTTGCTGTCTCCTTGTCATATTACCCACATCATACTTTATTCATATCTGCTTCAACCATTATGCAATAGAATACATGATCTTTGAATATTGATTTTAATGGTATAAATACTGTTTGCGTTATCAGTAAAATAAAATCTATCAAAATGTTATTGTTATAAACATATGCACATTCACAGTTCTACAATCTGTTGATACCTGTATCTTGGAATTGCACAAGGTCATGTTTTTCCCTGACTGATAATGACATCTTTACACTAAATATATTGGATGTTGGATGTGTACTTATTGATATTTTAGTCTAAGATACATGACTTATTGGGTACACAAAAAGAAAAGGTCAGGAGCCTGTAGTTCAGTGGTTGTCATTGGTTAATGTCATGTTTTGTTATAAATTAGGCTGTTAGATTTCTCACAGGAATTGTTTCATATTTTTCATGTCAGGGCCTTTTATAGCCAACTATACGGTATGGGTTTTTCTCATTGTTGAAGGTTGTACAGTTGCCTAAAATTGCTTACATTCACTTCATTTGTACTGTGGTGGATAGTTGTATCATTGTCAATTATACCACAAGTACTTATTCTAATATGAATTTATATATTATGATTTATAAATCAGAATAAATAAACAGCTGTGCCATGAGCGCATGATACACCCTTCACGTTTTGAAAGAATAAAGCTCAATAACTTCTCAATGTCATATCAGAAATTTATAAAAATCGAAAGGGAGCTTTAGTCAATAGATATAAACAATTCACCAAAGTTTCATGAGAACTGCTGAAAGCATTTTTGAGTTATTGTCCGAAAACTGGAAAATACCCCCTTTTTTAATGAATAAAACCCCATAACTCGGAAATGTAAAATCTAAAATTTATAAAAATCGAAAGGGAGCTTATGTCTATAGATATAAACAATTCAACAAAGTTTCATGAGAACTGCTGAAAGCATTTTTGAGTTCTTGTCCGAAAACTGGAAAATCCTCCTTTTTTTTAATTAATAAAATCCCTTAACTCAGAAACGTAAAATCTAAAATTTATAAAAATCGAAAGGGAGCTCATGTCAATAGATATAAACAATTCATCAAAATTTCTTGCAAATTGGTGAAAGCATTTTTGAGTTATTATCTGAAATCTGGAAAATCCCCCTTTTTTTAATGAATAAAACCCCATAACTTGGAAAAGTAAAAATCTAAAATTTATAAAAAACGAAAGGGAGCTCACGTCAATAGATATAAACAATTCCCCAAAGTTTAATGTAAATTGGTTAAAGCGTTTTTGAGTTAATGTCCGACATGTTGATGACAGACGGACAACGGTATACCATAATACGTTCCGTAAACAGGCGTATAAAAATTGCATCAAATTCACTGTTCAAAATATTTTCTTACAATAGTGCCTCTGCCTTTAATTTTTCTGCCTTTCTGATCATACTGTGTCCTATTACCATAGGGCAACCTCTCTAAATTTCTTCTGTTACCAAATCTTGGTGGCGACCTTTCCCTAAAAGTTAACTTTGCTATTATAAATCAGTTATGTCAAATGATCACACAATATTTTTCAGTAATTAAACAAGTAAAAATTGGAATTAATTATTGGACCACCAAATATATCCGTTTGGCTATGGGATACATACATTTTTGTACATGAATTTATATTTTATGATTTACATAATGGAATATAGGCTTTAAAGTGAATGAAATGTATTTAAGATAATGATGCTGTAACTTTAAAAAAAACACAAAATGATAGTGGTAGCGATAAAAAGTTGCTGTAAAGTCTTTTACTATCTAGAAATATTTTAGTGAAGAAATGTCATTGCTGAAAACCTTAAAGGTGAGTCTTCTGAAACAACAGATTATTACCTTTTTAACTTACCTAGATTAAAAGGGTAGGATTAAGTAGGCCTAAAGGTAATTTGTTCCTGATACCTTGGTATTGCTGTCAAAGGCCTCTTCAATGGATGTCATTGTTGAGTTACCTCTTTTTTTGTTATTCAAATAATCAAATAATGAGTTTGATGTTTATGTCATATCTATAGATGTCTTTGTTGAATACATTCGGTGTGAGCCAAGGCTCCCTGTTGAAGACCGTACTTTGACCTATAATGGTTTACTTTTATAAATTTTGACTTGGATGGAGAGTTGTCTCATTGGCACTCATACCACATCCAGGGCTTCCAAAAAATATTTGAGCCAGCCGGACATTTTTAATCCTTTAAGACTAAGTCACAAAAGGCAATTATGGTAATCAGATGGCCATCCCAATGATTGACATTAGATTAAAAAAAAACAATATTAAACTTTACTTTGATGTGAATTTGATGTTCGGATGTAAACTGTTAAATTGGCAGTGCATAATTCGAAGTGTGCACATCAGCGTGCTCATAACTGCCTTAGACTCTTTATTTGTGCAAAATTACGTTGTCAAAAACTTTACTTTCGTTTTTAAAATCACATTTTCCTAATACCGGATGTTGACCTGACAATGGTAAAACATGGACCAGAAACGGATACGTAAAATCCGTGTACGTTTACAAAGCACGACTGAGTGAAGAAGCTCTTTCCACGTTATTTCTTCAACAAAATACTTGAAATGAACTTAGGATACAGGTATCAATGATAATTTTTATCATTTTTTAAGAAATGTAGGATGCATACCGTAGAAAGGCTTGTATAGTCCGCGGTTTTATTCTCCAAAATTGGACCTTCCAGACGGGGTGCGGACTATAGAGTACAATAAGCAAGAAATAAGAGAAAAATTTCTATTTTGCGGGCGAGGTGGTTTGTTTACGTTCCGCCATCTTTGTTATTTATATTGTAGAGGGCGCTCTTATCATTTTTCAAACTAATAATTTTAACTCATCCATATTAATAAGTTAGTTCTATTCAATATCAAATCAATACTGATAAATATAAAAACTAAACCTTTCATTACAAATTTCTCATTTCTTTTCAATGAAATAAACTGGTATCTGCTTGATTGAAAGATACAAACATAGTGAAAAAGACAACCGTAAACCAGCTTAGAATTTGTAAACTACAAAACGTAATCAGTTATTGTTCGTTCCATTTTGGTGTTTCATACTGACTAATATGGTTTGTATTAGCTTAAGACCCTTTAAACATTAATGTGATAGATATATTAAAGACTGTTTTACAAAACGATGGAACTGTTTTACTTTCAAAGTCGTATTATAGTGATATCTGTTATGTACGGATTCGACTCTCACCGGTTAATTTCTTCTTTTACACATGCTTTTTTAACTTCCTGTTTAAACATAAACAAGGTTCTAAATAGTTTTTTAAGTGAATTAAACTTATTTTAACAATCATGAAGCGTTCTAGAATCATTTACAAGCAGTTTCAGCTTCTGTTTGATGATGGAAAACAGGTTTTTCCAAGAAAATACCACAAACGACCGCACAGGATTTGAAATTACCGGAGTTTCATTAGACCTTTTCTAACAGTTACAAAAAGTTTTTTTACCTAAAATTTCCTGGGGAGAAGGGGGTGCGGACTATGTACCAGTGCGAACTATACAAGCCTTTCTACGGTAATTAAATTTCCCTAATGCGCACACGTGTTCTAGTTCATACAACGTAGTTCTTACGATTTTTCATTTAAAACCTTTTTAAATTTTTCATCAAATCATGTTTATAAACGTATTTCTTATAATTTCAATCTTTTGGACTAAATCAATTAGATAGAAACCGCTGAAATGTAAGAAATTAACTTTGAATAGACCGATCAATTTATACGATGTCTGGTACTGGAAATAGTTTACCTGTCACCTGAACAGGTAGATTTCAGCTGTCCAACAACTAATTAGCCTTGATTAAAATTAGAAAGTATTGAAGAAGGGATTGTCTTGATAGTAATTAATCATCATGTCACTTTTATGACCAGAAATGTGTGGCTGTTAAAGGCAAAAGGTTGGGTTAAAAAGATCGCGAATTATGCTAAAATGACCGTCTCTTAAGAAAGCCTTGACAACTAAAACGTAGATGACCGTTTCATGCTTTGCCCAGCTGGACTTTTACCGGACATTATACAATTGTCCGGAATATATGACCGTTTTGGAAGCCTTGACCACATCTTCTTATATCAATCAACTCTTTAAACAGGATGATTTATAATCCATTTATTGGTTAGAAGGTTTGTCAATCAATGAATGACCTATAGCAACAACTTAATGTTTAACTGGATGAACTTGCGTTGTTATCCCCCTATTTTTATGATTTATCAAAGAAGTAAAAATTGTTATATGTTGACTTGACAATTTACCTTTGTTCTGGTTGTGGACCCCCTCTGTCGAGAAACTTAGATGAAGGGACTTCTGGGATTTCTTCAGGTCGAATTTCACCGAAAACAGTGGTAACTTCCTCTTTAGTCTCTTTCCCGTCGTCACTACTGCATCACATAAAGATAAAACCAATTTAATATATACAATGCATATATGTGTTAATTCATTTTGATCAAACATTTACCTCATTCACAAGTCCAAAAGTATAGCCATAAGGTCAAAAGAAGTCATCATTGCAAAGATTACATAACATGTAACTTCTAATGATACAATTATTTACCAAATATACCATCAAAATCTTCAAAAGAAAAGAGTTGTCAAATTGACAGCAAACTGGGTTTTTTGAAGGCACTGTCAGGTTTGTATGACCTGCCACGTTCTGTGCCTATTTTCAAATCTATCAAGGACCATAACTCCTAAACAGCAAAGTAAAAATCATCAATTTGAATTTGACCTCAATTTTGTAACCAGTAAAAACATATCAAAGTTTGAAAAGCATTGGTTGAATGGTTCATAAGGCATTCTACGGAAATGAAATAGAGTGCCACTTCCCAATCTATCAAGGACCACAACTCCTGAAGGATAGAGTTAAAATCAGCTATATTGAACATGACCTCCATTTTGTAATTAGAAACAACATATTTAAATTTTAATTACATGGAAACTACATTAAGTGTCATTTTCCAATATATCAAGGACAATAACTCCTGAACAGTACAAGTGAAAATCATCAATATCAAACTTGATCTCAATTTTGTCATCAGTAACAACATATTAAAATTTGAAAAGCATCGGTTGAACGGTTCATAAGACATTGCACATAAACTGTTGGCAACTGGGTTTCCCTGGAAAACCCAGTTAAAAAGTGCTGAAAGCTTGAGTCCATAGTTAGGTCAAGAGCAAGTCAACCTGACTCAATTTAACCTGCAAATATTATAGTTATCTGAAAGCAATCATTTTACAATTCAACCTAAATATGTAAAATAGATTGCTGCTAAAGGATAAAAGCCCACACTGGCCTTTTAATCAAAAATGAGATAATAATATGCTGGAAATGCTGGAAAGTATATCATACCTGGGACTTTTATCCCTTTTCTTTTTCTTTTCTTTCTTCTTCTTCTTTGAGTCTTTTTTGTGTTTTTTCTTCTTTTTCTTTTTATCATCTTCACTAGCAGAATCATCCTCTGATGATCTGGCTGACTCTGATTCTGACACTTTCTTCCTCTTCTTACCTAAAATTCATTTTGTATCAAAAAGTTTTATAAACAGGCTAACTGCTAGTTTTTCTTTTAGGATTACTATAGAATATAGCAGGTCCCCACATGTTTAGGCCCTTTCTTGTTGTGATAATTCATAGAGACAAAATAAATTATTTCTAATAATTTCTGGAAGAAAAGGATAAGACAGAATCCATGGAGAGTATCAAATTAGATAAAATATTGTATCCACAGTACCAGTACCAACACAAAAGTTACAATGTTTAGCCAAAATATGTTTTGGTCTTTATAACAATAGTTTTGATATCTAATTTCTTCTGTTTCCTATCAATCATTTTCCAGTATTAAAATGGTAATATAAATAAAACTACACATTTAGCAATTTTGCTAAAGGGAGTTTCTGAGCACACAAACAGAAGTTTTCTTGAATTCTAATCACTACCCACAGTGACTAGAAAAAGACCTACAACAAAAAATCCTTTATAGTAAAGCTTTAGCATACCTTTAGACTTCATCTGTGGAACCAATTCCCCACAATTTTCCACTTTAACCTCTTTCATAGGACAACTTTTAGAACTGTCAGTTTCTAAATTTTCTATTTCCATCACAAGTTCTTGGCCAAAAATAACATGACCAAATATGACGTGCACTCTACAAAATAAAACCATATAAGCTTTATATAGCTTGAAATCCTGTCTCTGTGCATAAAAGTTAATGAGAAACTGAAATACTGAAAAAAAATAATTATGGAACACTTAATAAATATTACAAAATTTTCAATCTGATCTATGAAAATATTCTTATATCTTTAATTGTATGGATTGGGTCCTTTTTTTTAGCTATTCTTTAGTTGTGAATATTATCAATATCAATCATGATAATTAGCTGTCATTTTCGTGTACATAAATACCCCCAAGTCCCTAACTCATTCAACAAGTTGTAAAAATAAAAGAAATATGATTTTGATCTTTAAGAATATGATAATGTTTTCGACTGTTTTAATTTTCTGAATTTTTCGTAAGAATTTGATGGCAAACACTAGGTCCAGCATTTTTCTGTGCATCACAATTGATTAACAAATGTTACCAAGATTGTCATCAACAACTGAACCCCATTTTTGTCAAAACAATTTGCATGGTTCTGACTGGATACTACTCAAATTTCCAGAAATATAATCATCCTGAATGTATCATATAATGATTACATACCCATTTAAATGTGGAGCTGGCTTTGTAGTTCTATTTGTGGGGAATAAAAGGATAATATGAAAAAGAAAGAAAATCATGTTTGAATTTTGAAAATAAACTATTTTAAATAAAAGTTACAACAAAATGGAATTTGGATCCTCTGCTTGGCCATCTTTCTGAAATAAATCATATTAGAACACAAAAATAAAGGGAAAAAAGACAACAAATTAGTATTTCTAACTTAATTCTTATTTCAGTCATAAAATATCTATAATATTTAGAATGGTCAGTTCTTATGTTTGGAATATCCAGTAAAATTATTTTTAACTGCAAAAAAAGAACTTAGATTTATGAGCTGATTTAGACTAATGTATTCATACATCATCAAATAAAGTTAATCCAAGCATAACTGGAATGCATATTATCTTACATGTATATTCTATACATAAATATGTTAACCAATAATGCAAATAAAATAAGGCTATCAAAAATTCAGCCTCTGATAAGTCTGTCTTTAATCAAAACAAATGTAAACATTTTCAATTTTTATCCATCAAAGGCACATTTTTGGAGTCTTTATCTATTTAAACATGTCTGGTTTTATATATTTTCTTCACAACATTTTTCAATGCAGAATACTCATTTTTTTTATTGAATTCAAAATTAATTCTCAAAATCTAAAACAGCTCAGGTTATAAATAATTTCAAATATTTCATACTATCTTAAATTAAGTACATGTGCCGTAAAAGCCTTTCGTAGACAAGATCTACTCAGACTTTGGTAATGTTACCTGACTTTTTATTGGTCCATACAGCTGTCAATCAGATTCTGTATAGAATGATAAATATTACATAGAATCAGTTTAAAACATAAAATTGTAAATACTGAAAACATCTGAAAATGAAGACATGCTATCCTAATACAACTTTTAAGAACTTTGAAGGACATCAAGGCAAAAGCTACGAACTTCTCTTTCTTATTTTCAGTGAAAGCTTTTAGTATATTTGTGCACTTTGTCAATGTTTTAGTGTTTGTCTGTTGTTTGTTTTACACTTAGTGCTGCAGTTATATAAGTATGAAGCGTTATAAAAATGATGCACTTCATATTCTGAAATAGAATTTACCAACTCATTTTTTTGGCTATACATTGGATTTTTTTTTCGCACTGAAACAATTACATGTATTCTAAGCATTTCCAACAAAATAATCTTGTAAAGAAGTTCTTATATATTATGTTGGATTATAACTAAAACTCCATTGGATCCAATTTCACATTTTTTCCTCAATGGTAACAAAAACTACTTGTACTACAATCAAAATATATAATTAATATGACTAATGATACAACTTATTCATGTTCCTTAGTTTCTGACATAAGAAGAAAAGTCTCAAATAAAATAAAATATGCATTTTGTATGGTCTCTAATATAATTCATCTGTTTTCTTCATCAAGCAATATTTAATTCAAAACTTTTGTTCTTCACTCAATAAATAAGCAGTATAAAGATAATTGAAAAGCAGTGAAAATCTGCAAAAACATAAAACCATTCATGAGAATGGCTATATTCCAGTAAATAAACTATAGTTAAATGTAGACATAAGGTGTTGTCTCCCTGTCCACCATACGTACATAAAGAACTGAGAACCATTTGTATCCTTTCCACGATTTGCCATGGAAAGAAGAAACTCCTTATCATGTTTAAGTGATAAATTCTCATCTGCAAAAGAAAAAGGAAGTGCATACATTTTTTTAGACTAAAGCCTACTGAACAAAGAATCAAGTATTTTCTATAATGTGTTTTTTATCTTTTCAACTTAGTCACATCATTTCTAAAATTATACATGGTTGGTCATGAATTTATTTCAATTTTGTGAGTTATGAGATGCTTTCTGAAAATTTATTTCAACTTACAACAAAAGTTTACATTGAAAATAATAGTGATAGAGGAGTGTTTTTTCTTGTGACTTCTGTGTTTCTCCTTAAACCAAAACTGTAATTCTGTAAGTGTTATCTCCCTTTGCAAGCTGAATATATCACTTATGGTAACATGGCCAGAATAGAAAATACAGACAACCTGTCATTGAATAGGCTACAGACGATGACGTCAATTGGCCTGATGAGAATGCACAACTAAGTTGTTAAGATATGATTATGGGTATTGTCAAAACAACTATATAAGGTTTAAATGACTGCCATTAAATATCATATCAAAAATTTGTAATGGGTTCCACAGAAATCTGTGTCTTGACTGCTATTGCTGCTGTCTTTGTAAAAATGTAGTGTTGATAGCCTAAAACTAAGTCTATTTATCAGTAAAAGACATAAAAAAGTTGGAACTTTTTTCTTCAGATGCTATTTCTTGATCTTGAAGAAGCATATTTAAAAATTTCAAAATCTTTCATGAAGGTTTAGTAAATTTGTAGATGCCTAAAAAATGTAATCCCAGACTGTATGAAAATGTTATTGCGAAAGAAATGAAACCTTTCCCAAGAATGAGTTCCTCTTTGTCAGGCTATCTAAATTTTCAAAGTTGACCTGTCCCATTGGATAGATTCATCTTATTCCTATAAGTCTTCCAATTGTTTGTATATTAATTATTTATTATACTTCATGTCAAAATGCCAGATTTTGATTGGTTAATATGAGGGAGATAATTTAACTCTATCCCATGGCCAATACTCTATTACCCTTCACGGAGACGCTTGATCAAATGTGCGCTTTATTATATACGGATCGTTGTTATGCACAAGACATCATAGTTTATTTCTTTGAATTTGAAATTTAATAGTAAGACAGTAATTACAGAACATGAAGTAAAATAAATTAAATAACACATATCTGAGAGGGTGATAGAGCAGATTGTTACCCCTCAAAAAGTCAATGTCAACCTTGGCTTCGCCTGAGTTGACAATGTTTTCTCAGGGTAACAATCTGCTCTATCACCCTCTCAGCTATTAGTAGATCACTCAACAAGCAAGCACACTTAAATCTTATGCACTAAAGACACACTCATATAATTTAGCCATTATAAAATTCATTTTCAAGAACTTTTCTTTTCTTCTGTTTTTTTTTATACTTATTGGTACTCATAAGGCATGTACATGTATTTTCAATATCTTACCTGGAAATACCCCTCCATAAATTGATTCTCCCCCTGTCCCATCACCTGTAATATAAAATGTTAAAACATTAAAAAAATTAAACACTAGCAACACAGCTTCTAATTAAATATAGACAAAAGATTCCTAAAATAAACAAATAGATGTATCACCATTTTTTATTTAATCCAATCCTGCAAAATGCATAATATTCTGGTGGTTTTAATACAATTCCTACATCTATTTATATAAATGATAACCTTCATTTCTAACATGGTTCTGTCAAAACTACATGAATTTTAACAGTGAAACAATTTTAATGACTGAAAATTCAAAATTCCTCAGTAATAAATCATGTTCCTATCGACGATTTTGAAAACAGAAATAACATTTTTGTATGTTTAATTAGTCAAAACTGGAAAATATGAACCTTTGTTTTCTGTCAAATATTGACTACTCAATACAGGCAGTACAGTGACCTATAGTCTTTAACCTTTATGTCATTTGGTCTCTGGTAGAGAGTTGTCTCATTGGCAAACAAACCACATCTTCTTTTTTTACAGTTAACCATATTTACCTCTTGTGAAATCTCCACCTTGTACCATAAAGTCTTTTACTATACGATGGATGGGGGATCCTTTATAGTGGAGGGGAATTTCACTTTTCTGACTTATTCCTTTTTCTCCTGAAAAAAAGATTTACCATTAGTACAGTAGTTAAATAATCTATTTGCAAACACTTCAATCGAAGCTCCACCTAGCACATGAATGCACTGGGAATCTTCTGAAACTTGCATGGCCATTTTTTCAAAAATATAAAACCTGTTCCTGTTTTCTTCTTAATTATTCATTATTCAACAAAAAAACTAGGATCCCCCTCCCTCCCCCCAAAAAAAACATTTGTCCAATGCCATCCTGCTAAAAACTTACCCATTATTTTTATATTTGTGGCCATCGTGCAGATTTTTTTTTAATTCAGATCAATTTTACCCAAGCTATTTCATAAACAATACTCATTTAAAAAAAAAACCTTTTTTTTCCCCCCAACAAATCATCAACATTTCCCCCAAAACATCTAAATCAACCTTTTCAGTGCAAGAAGGGTTTTTTTAAAAAAAATAATCAACATTTCCTCAAAAACCTCTTGATCAACCTTTTCAGTGTAAGATGTTATTTTCAACAAATCATCAAAATTTCACACAAACATCATGATCAACCTCTTCAGTGTAATCATCCTGAACATGAATGAAATATTTGCCACTGGACACCATTACCAACAATCAACCTACAGTGTAATATTTCATCCAAGAGTGTTCTTTCTAGGATATTTTTGATAGCCCTGTGGTAAGGGCTCAATATAAGACATTCTATTTCACCTTTTACTTAATTACATTACATCATAATGTGTGTGATGCATTGTTGTTACATTAAAATATATTGCAAAATAACTGCATTAATAAACATATAACTATTTTGATTTTTGGTAATATAATTTCATTTTAAATTGATTATCATACATGTAGTTAAAATCAATAGTCTTACCTGTACATAATGCTCTAAAATTTTCACAGGTTTTAGGGCACAAATCAGAAAACAATTCAAACACAACTCTTCCAGCTAAAAAATAAAACATATGTTCATTAATGACCATTATCAAATTCAAAATGTATTTGTAAAATTGTATAATTAACAGAAGCTTTCTTTCCATTAATTTTCTAATGTTGTAGTTATATTGTCATGAAATTTACACAAATATAAGAAACAAATTCAAAACAACCAGAGTGGACAAGCTAAAAGTTTTGCCCATCCAGTGCCAAGGTCAAATTCACCCGAAGTGTGTACGTTGTACATTAGAATTAATGGAGAAATGGAGTATATGTTAATGAGACAACAACCAAACAACACAAAAAATAAAGAAATCTTATCTGGTTGGTTATCAAGTGTCAAAATTAATTCATCAAAAATTTGTCATTTCAAATTTAAGAAATTGTTCATTTGAATACACGATTTGCAATGCTTACTGTGGTTTCATGATGAAAGTGTAATTGACAGAAAGACCAATACCATAATGAACTTTTTAAAAACATCGTTTTACTTGAATTCGAACAAAACTGTTAAATTCAGACTTACTTTGTCTTTCCCTGCCCTCAATTTAAGTGCTAAAAGTACAAACCCGGCAGCCATTGTATATAATCCTCCGATGAAGATACAAGATAGATACCTCAATTATAATTTTTCCTAGTATTGTAAATGTCTAACATACTTTTAAGTAATAGGACTTATAGATTTGGGGTTAGATCTTTCGAAGTATGGTTCAAAATTAAGAGAACTTGGTAGGGGGTTGGGGAGGGGGCTTCCGTCATTATTTTCTGTATTCTTAATTTTTTATACAAATTTTCTCTATTCTATATATATCTAAGCACCCATTATTCTCTCTTCTTAATTTTAAAACATGTTCTCTATTCTGTAGCATATACAGACCATAAGCTAATTACACTGACAAGAACATTTATCAATATATTAGTCCTTGTTTTAAGACATATAGCAATCAATACAAAAACATACAATATGTATCTTTTGACGAAAAACAGCTATTTTGTTTTAATCTTCATTAATATATTTTTATTTGTATACTAATGAAATACTGAAGAAGTAAAAGAAAGTACACCTTTTTTTCATGTATTTAACCCTATGCAATAACTACCTTAGTCTTATCATGTTAAGCAGCTACCCCAAAAAAAGGTTTTCTTTAAAGCCCTCAAAATCCTAGCTTATCCCCTGCTTCTTTGGGGGCATAATAATTGACATATAATAACATTTTTGGTTTTTTTTGTTCATATTTTTTAATTAATGAAATGTCAAAATTCTGCTTTATGACTTCTGATTTGTTACTACCCAATGGATTACTAAAATAATGACTTTCACTCAGCAAAAACTTCTTGCCAGGAGTGCCATGACATTTTAAGGGAATTCTAGAACACTGATATTCAGTCACTCTTTCAATAAAATGATACATACCTGACTGTCCTCCTATTTGAATGTCAAAGAAGCACCTAGGTCTAAATTCTGGTTTGATAGTCATTCTATTTAAAAAGAAATACACAATAAATTTAATACAGATGCTGGGTTTTTTTTACATACAGGTTCTTCATTTGAGTTTCTAATGTCACCAGTTGAATATATATGAATATTTATTTAACTGATTGCTCACATTTCACTTCACAGATTTTTCAATAATACATACTTATTTCATGTATTTGAACAAGTGCTGAACATGTCCTGATATAAAAAAAAAAATGTTATATATTCACATAAATAATAAAAATAATATGCAACTATAATATAAAAAATAAATTTAATAAAATGCTCCGCTGGGCGCAGCTTGATACGACCGCAGAGGTCGAACCCTGAACAGTTGGGGCAAGTATGGACAC